GAAAAGATAGGAATGGCGGCAATGCTTACCATTCAAACATAGTTTAAGTATGCTTTTAAAACTTTCTTAGTTGCTTAATCAATCATAAATAATAAAGTTACAAGATTATAAGAGCAAAAGGGAAAAAAATGGAGAGAATAAAGAACCAAGCAGGAAGGACACAATGAGAAAATGCCTACTTCAAGACTGCTGGGCACAGTGGCACATGCCTGTAACCCCAGCAACTGGGGAGGCTGAGATATGAGGAGCACAAGTTCATGGCCAGGGGCAAATTAGTGAAACCCTAACCAACTTAATGAGACCCTGTCTTAAAATAAAAAATAAAAAAGATTGAGGATGTAGCTTAGTGGCAAAGTGTTCCTGGGTTCAATACTCAGTCCAAAAAAAAACAAAACCTCAACAGTCATAGACTAGTGAATATAGTAAGAGTGAAAAATCAAAGAGACAGGATTGCAAAATAACACAACTTCTATAAATTATACACAGCTAGAAAGGCAACAGTATAAGGCAAAAGGATTGTGCAAGCTTTTTTTATTTTTATTTTTAGATGTACATAACAATAGAGGATATTTTGACATATTTGTGAGAGCTTTAAATTACTGAAATATGAGAAGTATATATATTTACCATGCATACAAAAATGATTTCCAACAATTATGTGTGCTCTCAATGTGAAAATTTTCTAATTTTTTCTAAACTCAATTTTAAAAGTGGTGAGGTTTTCATTTACTTTCCTAAGGAAGGAAAAGGCACATGCAAATTCTCATTGGAAATCTGTAAGGTTAAGCATAGTTTTATCAGCAAGACCTTGTTAGCCAAAAATGTCTATAATGTATGCACCATCTGTGATAATGATTTCTCTACTGCAGTGTTTTATCTGATTGTGAGATAGTCAGGGACCACCATGGAGGGACAAAAGGCTGGAATGATGAAATAAACCCCTGAGCACAATGAACTATTATCCCTTGTGCATGGCATGTGGCTTCTCTACCTTTGTGCTTTTCAGCAAGCCTGTCATGAGAACCTGATTAAAAAAAAAAAACAGAAACAGAATGTTACCAGGGGGAAAATCTAAGTACACCTCTAGCTTCGCTTGTTCTTAGTTACCTACAAAATTAGTGACTTTTAAAGTTAACAAAACTGGGCAATACATTATTGGTTTCCTACTAGTTTTGTTGCAGATAACATCTCTGACATGTAGGTTATGGTGACAGAAGTTTCCTACGTTAAGCCTGCTTTTACAGAAAAAAGATTCTTCACTTGGACCTGCAGATGTCTGATCAGCTACTGCAATGTAATAAAAAGGCTTGACATCTCTGTCTTCATATTGTCTCTCTCCTTTGCAACTTTAACCTCTGGGTCAGAGTCTACTCAGGTCTGCACATAGATATTTTCACTGCCTTCAATATAGACATATTAAAACTGATTTGCGTTTTCTACTACCCAGCTCTTGGGCTTTTTCAGCAGATACAGCAGCCCAGGTAATCAAAGTTCATCAGCCCTATCATAAGTCCCAGATTAAGCTATAAGGCCAGGATGTTTGCACAGGATAATGGCACCAGTTGCAAGAGTAACTCAGCAGTTCCTGGGATAAACTGACCATGACTGTTCAATGTTCAAGGCTCTCACAAGACCACCATCTTTTGGAAGTGCCCCAGTTAGTGGAAAATTACTGAATTTTAGCCAACTCAAACAAAACAACACAAGTTTACATCTTTTGAGGAAACAGCCTGGTATTCCACTCAATGCTGTCTCCCTACAGGTGGAACCCCAGTTAAAACCTTGCCTTTGTGTATTCCCCAAACTTGGCTGGTTTCATTTCTACTGACCCTGAGTTAGAAGTTCCTCTCTTAGATAAACCATGGCATTTGCAGGTAAAAATGGATGCCATTGGAGAAGATAATGCTAAGTGAAGTGAGCCAATCCCCAAAAAACAAATGCTGAATGTTTTCTCTGATATAGGGAGGTTGACTCATAGTGGGATAGGGAAGGAAAGCATGGGAGGAACAGATGAATTCAAGATAGGGAAGTCGGGTGGGAGGGAAAGGGAGGGGGTAAGGGAAGTAACAAGGATGGTGGAATGCGATGGTCATCATACAAAGTACATATATGAAAGCTTGAATTGGATGTCAACATACTTTATATACAAACAGAAATACAAAAGCATGGTATTTATGTGTATTAAGAATTGTAATGCAAAAAATAAATAATGTTACCTTAGATTAGGTAGAGGGAAGTGAAAGGAGGGGAAGGCAGGGGATGTGGGGATAAGAAAAATAGTAGAATAAAACAGACATTATTACTTGTATGTAACTGTATGACCAATGTGATTCTACAATATGTATACTCAGAAAAATGAGAAATTATATTCCATCTATGTAAAAATTTAAAAAAAGAAAAAAGAAACAGCACATGGACTCTGAAATCCTCCAGAAAAAAAATGGGGCAGGTCCTGGGGAACTGAGTTATTCTTGTTAATAAAGTGAACTGAGTCATGACCAGCAAAAAAAAAAAAAAAAAAAAAGTTCCCCTCTTAGGTAACAACTGGACCTAGAATGATACTTGGTTCACTAACAAAAACTTCTAAAGAAGTATCTGGTTATAAATTATTTCTGATTAAAATCCACCAATTTAAAACATTTCAGATATATTGAGTGTAGAATATTTTCCCACAGCCAAATGATCAGAGTACAAATATGAAACAAGCTGAAATTCTAATGATTTTTATCAAAATAAAGAAAAGCAGATACACAGGCAATTGGATTGCTTTATCAAATTCCTGAAAGTGTTAAAAAAAAAAAATCAGCTTCATTTCAGCTATAAGTTCTTGATGTTCTTTGTACTTACCTACCCAGAAAAACACAAAAGATGGCTTTCTATAGCTTGGTGTGGTGGCACACAGCTATAATACCAGTTACTCAGGAGGCTGAGGCAGGAGGTTAACAAGTTTAAGGACAGCCCAGGCAACTTTTTTTTTTTTTTTTTTTAAAGAGAGAGTGAGAGAGAGAGGGACAGAGAGAGAGAGAGAGAGAATTTTAACATTTATTTATTCTTAGTTCTTGGCGGACACAACATCTTTGTTGGTATGTGGTGCTGCTGAGGATTGAACCCGGGCCGCACGCATGCTAGGCGAGCGCGCTACCGCTTGAGCCACATCCCCAGCCCCCAGCCCAGGCAACTTAACAAGACCCTCTCTCAAAGTAAACCAAGGGCTGAGAATGTAGCTCAATGGGTAGACCATCCCTAGGTTCCATACTTAGTACTGCAAAAAAATAAAAAAACAAAAAATGGTTTCTATGTAAACTATAACAGAATTTACTATAGCTTGAAGTCTTTTTTTTTTTATGTTTATTTTTCAGCTTTTGGCGGACACAGCATCTTTGTTTGTATGTGGTGCTGAGGGTCGAACCCAGGCCGCAAGCATGCCAGGCGAGCGTGCTACCGCTTGAGCCACATCCCCGGCCCCATAGCTTGAAGTCTTTGAAATAGAAAGAAATAAAATAATCGCTGAATCTGGCTAAGTTTGTCACTTCTTTTTCCATCCTGAAGCCTTTCTTGTCTGTCTGCATTTTTATACTCAGGAGTTTACCTTCTCCAAATATTTCTCCCACTTCTTACTGTCAAGACTCCATTTTTAAATACCCTACCCACCAGAAATAAAACCTTCAAAACTAGTGAAAACTATGAAAAAACACTGTTCTCAATGCTCTTCCCAGACATACTCTCATGTACACATTTCTGTGCACACTGCTTCATAGCATACTGCTATGTCACAAGGAGAGTTACAAAAGTAAATTTCTATGGAATGCTAGAAAATATAAATTATAGTAGTCTATCTTGATAACCTTTAAGTCTCTGTTATTACTTTTGGTTACTGTTTTCCTAAATGTCACAAGAAATTTTCCAAACTTTTCCTCGCTAAGACAATGACCTCTGAAAAAGCTGTCCTCAAAGGTGAAAGACCCCAGTTTGTCCCAACCATGCTGCTATGAAAACATATGCAAAGCAGGGACAAAAGCAAAGTCTGTCTGAAGTACAAATGCTTTAATGCGCAGTCTCTCAGTATTCTGTTTCATGTAACTTATTACCGACTTAAAGAAAAGTTTTCATTTACCTACTCACATAAAATATAAAATGTCTGTAACCATGCAAAAGCCCTGATTCACTCCTGGAACCCAGAATGTTTGTCATCTTTACTAAGTGTTAAGGGTGTGGAACAGACCTACCAACTGAAGACAGAGCTCTGGAAAATTGTTTTTTTTATTGGTGCATTAGAACTGCACAGTGGGATTCGTTGTGCCATATTTTCATATGCTCATAATGTGACCAGTCTCAATCGCCCGTACCTTCCCTTTTCCTCCTGAGCCATGAAACAGCTTTAGTGAGAATATTTCACCCATTCACTCAAAAATACTGAGCACCTACAGCAGTTCTAGTTGCTGAGGAAACAGCACCCCAAGAGACAAAAGTATCAGTTTTTAAGGGGTTTGGATTCGAGTGGTGGGTGTGCTCATAAACAAAAAAGCAAGTATATGGAACGTTACTGTGTGGTGCAGAAACATAAGTAGGAAGAAGAGGATAGGGAGCCAGAAGGTAGGGATTTAATACTGGGGTTGCAAACTACAGACAGACAGCAGACAGTACTGGGACACCCAAGGTAGGGTGCTTCAGGCTACTCCACAGGTATTTGCTGAATAAACTCTGCGGGAAGTTCATTCCAACACTTAGGACTACTTTGCAGCGCTTTTCTCCACAAGCGGTTCCTAGGAAATCAGCTCCACCCTCTTAAGTATTTTTAACATATGCAAATTCCAGTATTAAAGAGTTTGAAACGCAGCCATCACCAAAAGAAATTTCTCCCCCCCAAGTTCCTAAGTACCCGTTTGGGCACCTCCCGCGCACTGCCTACCAGACACGAACCTTCTCCTCAAAGCAGCCACGCGTCACTAACCTACTCAGGCAACACGCGCCTTTTATAAAGCTGTGGTGACGTCGTGGCGCATGTGCGTGCATAAAGATGGCGCCCCGTCCTCTGCGCCTGCGCAGTGCGCTTTCCCGGAAGAGCTTGTCGGTGGGCTCCTTGAGTGAAGTCCTTACGGTGGTGCGTCGGTGCGTGACTATCAGACCACCGCATAGGATGTCTGCAGGGCCGGTGAGGAAGAGGGAAGAGCCGGGTGATGAGAAAAATTCTTGAGTATTTCAGGAAGAAGGGGGAGTTGGGACGGGGTGTCCAAGGGCCAACTTGGAGCGAATCTTGGTTTAAAACGCGCGATTTGCCCTGTCTGAAGCGCCGTAGCGGTACCGGTACCGAAAAGTTGCCGTGGACCGACTTTCTGGTCTTGCCTCAGGGCTGCATCAATCAACTCTAGTTTCTATGACGCTAGAGAAGCAGCGACGAGGAGAATTAGCCTTAGCAGGAAAATATCTGTAATTGGACCTTGGCCGGCTAGCGGGCGACTGAATGCCGTCCTCGGTTCTGAGGAAAGTCAGCCAGGCCTTAGGAGGGAAACCCCATGAAGGCAGGCCGGCCGCCGGCTTCCCTCGGCCGGGCTCAGCGCTCTACCCTCTACAGCCAAAGCTGTGTGTGAATGAAGAGTTCAGACTTTGCCTGGATGTTGGTCAGTCAGGCAGCTAATTCATGATCAGTGTTTAATTTAGGAAAAAAATCCTCATTCCAGGAAGGAATTTTCTTTTTTCCTTTCTTTTACCCCGCCCCCCCTTAGGTCAGGCACCTTCTGGTTTTACGCCCATCCAGATGTGTCTTCAGGCTTGGGCTCTTGAAAGCTTTGTGCTAGAGCTCTATCTGCACTGATCCGTGCTTTTTAACCAAGGTGAACCAAGTGTGTCTTGAAAATGAGAGTTCTCAGTGGCCAGGGTAAGGTGAAGGTACTAACTTGTGCTTTTCCTTACAATTACACATGAAAAAAAAAATACTTTCCTATTTGGAAGAGACGTGGTAGAACTGGGCAGTCTTCCAGTAAAGGAAAGACCATGAGCTTCCAGTTGGTTCTCATACTTGTTTGCCTGTCTATGTGTGTGTTTGTGTGTGTGTGTGTGTGTGTGTGTGTGTGTGTGTGTGTGTGCACACATGCAATAAGGAATGGTATTCCTGCCTTGAATTTTACACTGGATTTTTTTTTTCTATCTGTTGATACAATAAAATGTTCATTCGTTTTAGTACCAGCTGCTTGTTTTTAATTCTGATGAAGGTTAGAGTTTGAAAAAAGAAAAACAGGGGGACATGTTAAGTATGTTGAATTCACCTGACTCATAGTGTCCTTAGATGGATCTGGCATATGAAAAACTAATCATCTTGAATAAAAATGTATTTAAGTGCAATTCTTTGATTTTATACATTACTATATCTTAAGTTTCCATTTCTTCTCTGAAAGAACCAATGGGTTAAGATACTAATCAAATACTGCATAGCTGAGGATGTGGTAGAAGTAACTTTAAATGTTTTTATTATTTTAGAAGAAAGCTTATGCCACAGCTTTGATTAAAGATGACTTCATTTTTCGCTCAAGAAGTTCGCCTTTCTAAAAGACATGAGGAAATGTAAGTTTTTTTAAAAAGTATAATGCAAACATAGAAGTTATACTGATTTCATTAGCGAAACACAGTGAAGATTAAAATTTTGAAAGTGTGTCATTTTAATTTTCTGACACCTAAGAGATTTGCATATGGGCTGGGGTTGTGGCCCAGCAATAGAGCACTCGCCTAGCACGTGCAAGGCCCTGGGTTCGATCCTCAGCACCAAATTGAAAAAAATAAATAAATGAATAAAGATATTGTGTCCAACTACAACTAAAATATAAATATAAAAAAAGAAAAAAGATTTGGGCATAAGGAATTTTCATTGTTTCTTAAGAAAAACTAGGATTAAAAGGTATAATTCTTTTCTATCTTTTTTACTTTTTGTTACTAATATCTAGATAAATTCACTCTTTTTCTTCCCCTTAGCTCCACAATGACACTTAACCCAGTAAGTCCCCAATTTTCAACTCTGCAAATATGTCAGTGAAATTGGAAAAGGTGCATTAAAATTGATTCAAAATCACAGTCTATATTTTTATTATTATATTAATTTATATCATTACATAATTATGTACTATGTAACTATGTATAAATATAAACTTACTATACTTAAGTTTTTAATAGGTGTTCCACATCTGAGACGAGGGGACAAAATGGGTTCATGGGCTTCTCTAAGTCTCTTACCAGAGGACCTTCATGGGTATGTGACCTATACAGTCACTGGCCCTGAACTTGGTTTAATACCCTGATGTCACAATCCTTAATCATTGTGCACCAGGTCCTACAAATTGTGCAGCCAGTCTTGCTCTTATATTTAATATTAGTCCTCTCCCTCCTCTGACTATGGGCTCTCAAACTTTCATTTACTTAATTACCCAGGTCCTTCTCCTTGGCTTTCTAAAATAAATTTCTAACCCTGTCTCCCTACTCACTCCCCAACAAAATGATTGTTCAAAGTCCTTAGTTTTTAATTCTACCTTTAAGACACCTGTGTGAAATGGTGTTTCTTGAAAACCTCCACAACTATCTGAAAATGGCTAGACTTTTATGTGTTTTTAATCATCTGACATATTTTCTTATCATTTAAGACTAAATGAGCACTTGAGCAGCAAGAAAATTTTAAGTATATTATATATAATGAAGTAGTTTCAGAATTTAATTACTTTTTACATCTTCCTTCAAGTACTGTTTTACCTTGTTGTCAGCATTCATACATACACACTGCCTCTCACTCATATATCAAACCATCATCTTTCTCTTGGAAAAAGAGGGAAAAAATATTTTTATTGCTTCTTCAAACATATGGAAGTTTAGCACAATTCTAAATGTGTAACATGAGATTCAGGGGTACTGAAGTGTTAAGCAGAAGGTTTCATATAGCAAGTTATATCAATGTATGTGTGTGGGGAGGTATATATAACTATGTGTACAAGGAGATAGATATGTTTTAATTTTTGGTGAAAATGCAAACTGTAATACATATCTTCAACACTCTAAAATAATTTCAGAAGACCAGAGGCTAAAAAACAGAAGCATGTACTTACAAGCATATATAAAGAATATGTTAATGAAAATAAAAAATAATTTCACCCAGATTGACTTAAGACTTATTGAACTACTTAAGTTACTCAATGCCCATTAGTTGACGACATATCTGACTTTCAAAACAGGTTTGAGTTGAGATTAGATGCAATTGAGAAATGAGCTTTGTATACTGGGCAGGCAATAAAATGTTTGCTTTTTAATTTTTTTCACTCTTTCTACTCTTCACTTTTTCTAGAGTATCACAAAGATTAATATTACTTCAACAAATGCAGAATAAATTTGGAAATCAAAACACAGAAAAGGGATCACAACTGCAAGCAGCTGAGACTGCTTTTAAAAGGAATCTTAGTCTTTTAAAGGTAAGCTTCCATGACTTAAGTACAGAGATGTTTCCCAACTTTCCAAAAACATTTTACATGAATTTCATTATTTTCATTTATAATGAAATGAATAATAATGAGTAATAGGTAGAATTAATGGGAGAGTATCTTGTTTCAAACCCATGTTCATCAGACAGATAACATATGGGTTCTCATTTTTCAAGATGAAAAAAAAAAATTCATGAAAAATGAATGTTTTCAAACATCCAGAAAAATCAATAACTACACAAGGAATATTAAAGTCTCCATTGGGCAAGAAGTAAGAAACAGAAGGTGTCCCTTTCCATTTTCCATCTTCTACATTTGAAAGAAGATCCTGAAAGACCTTAAAGTACCTACATTGTGCTTAGATCCAACTCAAAACCATTAAGCATTATAAAAATAAGAACAATTTGATTTTGCCCTCTTGGAACCACAGTCAACACACAAAATTCATGTCTACTATAGCAGATTTCCCAGATCCTTTTGATGGTTATGGAGGAGGTGGTCAAAGTGTATGATTGCGCAGGGCCTCACCATTTGGCCAATGTGCCCATTTGGAGTAAAATCATATGTGTAACATTTTTGGCTGCTTGCTATACTTTGCTTCCAGAATTGTGGCTTCATCCATAATTAAAACCCTAAAGTTTGCTTCCATTCAAGCTTCCAAGAGATCCTATGACTAAAACATTTGGTAGTAAGACTATATTATTTAAGTTATAAAGCAGTGTTTTCAGTTTTTTATTGTTAAATATTTTCATCGATAGGCATGATACAGTTATCTTCTATCCTCACTAGAGGATAAAGGAAGAGGAAAATTCAGTTATCTTCTCAGCTTCTGGCAGTTTGATCCACAGTAATTTAAGTCACAGCCATAGTGCTACCAAAGCATTCTATATTGCCATATGTCTTACTTGCCCAATGGTGTTAGCAATATTTATTTTTAAATGGAAATATATAGGGTATTCTGGAATTTGCTGTGAAAAGTTAGAAAAACTAAATTAGAACGCTTGATTGCTACCTACCTGAAGCAAATGATGTGATATTTGGTTCTCAAGTGGTGTCCTTTTAATGAGCAAGTATTTGATGAATGCACAGAAGCTGAAAGTGGAGACAATGAAATAACTGTAAATCATAGTTCTTGATATGAAGGTAATTAGTTGATCATCAAGGCTTAGTTGATGATAAAAGGTTATAAACTCCCTAATATCAGGAACTCTGAGACTTCATGTGATTAAACACTAAATGATATGAAATATGATAATAGGTACATAACGATGTTTGAGAGGAAGAATATTCTGAGAGGTCTCAGAGAGGAAGCAAGGCTTCATTTATATTTGAATAGGCAGAAAAAAAGGTATTCCATTGGATTCTTAGCAAAAAGAGCCAAGAGCAGAAAAAATAAATGGCCTTATGAATGTTCATGGTACTACAAGCTAACTAGTGTGCAGATTCACAGGAAACAATGTATGTTGTGGGACAAAAGTTGAGATTTAATATGCAGAGATAATATTGTAGAGATAATAAAGTAGTGACAGTGTCTAAGCAAAAGAAAAATACAAACTAATATCAGAAACATATGAGTGGGTGTTTAAGAAAGATTCATTTACTATTTAGATGCAAGGTGATATCAAGAATAGAAAAACTGGAGTTAAGAAGAAAAGCTAAGAGCTGGGATTATGGCTCAGTGATAGAACACTTGCCTAGCACTTGTGAGGTACTGGGTTTGAACCTCAGCACCACATAAAAATAAACAAATAAAGGTATTGTGTTCATCTACAACTAAAAAAAAATTTTTTTTAAAGAAGCAAAGCTAAGAAATTGTCATGTATGGATGAGCCCCTACTTACAATAGTTCAGCTTACACTTTTTTGTCTTTAGAATGTTGTGAATTTAATTGACACCCAGGCTAACAATATGCAGTAAGCTACTCTTGGGATGCTGGGCAGCAGAACTAGGCAGCTCCCAACCAGCCATGCAAGATCACAAGGGAAACAAGTGATTTTCTATAGTGTGCTGTGTGGCCAAGCTAGGATGGGTGCTTTACATATTTTCACACTGTAGTCTCAAATTATGATTTTTTTTTACATAATCCCATTATAAGTCAAGGAGTGTTTGTAGATAAGAAAAATAATGAACCTGGTTTTATAATTGTGAGAAACTTCAGTTTGGTATGGCATTTTCCCCCTGATTACCAAAGTAATATATTCTCATATTTTAAAAAAAAATTAAAAGAAAAAGATGAATCACTATATATCCATACCATCCTACCCATCTGGACTTAAGTACACTTTTGTATATTTCCTCTCAGTCTTTTAGTAATCACTGTTTGAGCACCTATTACATCAGACATAGTGCTTGTTGCTAAAAGTAGTCTTCCCTTTTCTTTTCATACTTTGAATAATTAGACAATTTTTATCCTGCTTTCCCCCATTTTTTTTTAAATTTTGGAAATAATGTTCATGACTCTACCATATAAGTCACTATAATAAATAGGAGTTAATTATAGAATTTTGAGATGGATGAGAACTTTTTCAGGGGAGGGGACTCATTCCACCACTGAGCTACTTTAGCTCTCAGAAGAAACTTTAAATGACAGATATTACATTAGAGTCTCATAAAAGATTTAAAACATTTTTAGCATTAAAACTTTTTCTAAAGACACAAAATAAATAAAAATGGACTTGATTTGGCCCAAAGCCCCATCCACAGCCTTTCTTTGATGTGTGGCTCTTGCACTAAAAACTGAAAAACTCTAATCTGGGCCAATTCTTTCAAGATGAGGAAACCGTAGGGTAACTATCCTAATGCCTCTTGTCAGACACAAGTTAAGTTACCTCTAGGATAGGTATTTCTACAGTACTGCACACGCTTTAAAAAAATGGTACCATTAAAATCTGTACTGTAATGATAAGAACAAATAAAGATGGCTTCTATTATCATCCATCATTTGACCTCTTAGATCTTGTAACCAATATAATAAACATTAAAAGTTAATGGCCTTTAACTTTTGAAAAGGAAGATACAACAGCAGCATTTTGTATTATATGGTTATATACTTTAAAAAGTTAAGTTTTGGGGCTGGGGATGTGGCTCAAGCGGTAGCGCGCTCGCCTGGCATGCGTGTGGCCCGGGTTCGATCCTCAGCACCACATACCAACAAAGATGATGTGTCTGCCGAGAACTAAAAAATAAATATTAAAAATTCTCTCTCTCTCTCTCTCTCTCTCTCTCTCCTCTCTCACTCTCTTTAAAAAAAAAAAAGCTAAGTTTTGTGAATTAAGTCAATTAACAGATTAAAAGTACAAAAATAGCAATTCTATTTATACAACCAGAAAAGAGATCAGATTCACATTAACAATAAAATTCTAAGATATTTGGATATGCTCTTAACAAGGGTTATTCAAAATACTATAAAACTACTTATTAGAGATTTAGCAGAAAGCTTAAAAGGTGACATATGCCTTAATCCCAAATAGGGAGACTGTTGTTTTTCTAAAGTCACTTGTCACAAAGTTTTTTATAGATTTTTTTTTATTCCAAAACTTTGCATTGAACTCAGTAAGTTTCTGAAAATTCATTTGGAAAAATAAATTGTCAAGAATATCAAAGAATAAGAAACATACTAATCCCGACTAATATCTGACCATATTAGTGAATATATGGCTGTGAATATAAATAAGGAAGAAACAATCAGGGTCCAGTCATAAATGTCATAAACTGAAGTTAACTTGGAAAACACAGGCTGAGACATTTTCCTCTATTAGAATTAGTTAAGTGGAATTTATCTGCCTTTTATAAGTATAATTAGTGTGAATTTCAAGAGAAACAGGATTTTGTTACAATACTTGTATGATACAAACTGTAATTTCTACCCATCACCTCCCCAGAAAAGTTAGTTTTACACAGAAAGGCAGTTCTGTGGAAAGTAATGTCATCTCATGAGAAAGCCAGAAGAATACACCAGAGGAAGAAAGAAGAGGAAAACACTCCACTCCTACAGATCAGAGATTCAATGAGTGCTTCCTCTGAAGAGTGATCTGGAAGGACAGCTGGCAGTTAAATGGGGCCTTTGACCAAACTGCCACCCAGGATGGCCAGTTACTTAAGTTTTCTACTAACCACCTTTTAAGACAAGAAACAGATGAAATGTATTATTCTAAAATAATTTTTTAGTGAGGCATATACAAAATATTTCAAATGTTGGCTATAAAAATGTTTTCTGAGTCTTCAAAATTCCATGTATATTTTATTTTTTTGTATATCTTAACTCAGACTTGCCACTTCTCAAGCATTTGGTAGCCACAGGAGGCTAATGGCTAGTGTATCAACAGGGCGGATCAAGGGGCCTTGGCAGACATAGGTTTGAAGTTTAGGGAACGAAAACTTCTACAATGGATGGATGTCTCTCCTTTTATAATTTGGCAATCATTGAGCACTGCCTTGCTATGTTAGAGGTTGCACAGAGTGGTATTCAGATTTTTTTTTTATTCCTTCTCATTCAATTGCTGATTATTTATATGAAGGGAATCTTTCCCTCTTCGATTACTTGGTTACACTGATATCCAGGAAAAGGTATGCAGAGTATCTGATCTTTCCCTATTTTTAATGGTGTGACTTTGTGCACACATGTGTGTATTTTGTTTTTGTAGTTCTGGGTTTTGAACCCAGGGTCTCACACATGCTAAGCTACACCCCCAGCCCTATATTTAGTTATTTTTAATTTTTTTTTGTAGTTGTAGATGGACAGAATGCCTTTATTTTATTTGTTTATTTTTATGTGGTGCTGAGGATCGAACCAAGAGCCTCACGCCAGCTAGGCAGGCACTCTGTCACTAAGCTACAGCCACAGTCCTATATTTAGTTTTTAAAATAATAGGTTGTTTTTTCAGCAGTCCTCCAGAGGTGATCACTGAGGTATTATTTTGTTTTAAATTTATCTGGAATTTGAAAACCTAAAAAATTACAATTTTTAAAATTCTTATTTATGCTTAAATTATGGCACTTTTACAAAGTAGAAGCCTCTTCAAGTTAGCTCCTGAATGTCTTTGACATGATCTCGATAGTCTTTAATAAAATTATCTGAAAGAAAGTAATCTATCTAAGCTTACTGGGTATATTTGCTGTCCACACCAGGAATTGGTCATTGCTTCAGGGAATCTTGGCTCCTTTTGGCAGGGAATATATTTAGAGCCCTCAATCTGGGCACTAGGACTATTTATTACAACTTCATTTGATCATTTTTTAAAGATAAAATACAAGAGCATCTATCAGTACTTCCAATTTAATTATAGGATTGCAGGTTTCTTAACTTAAAACCTTGCACCTATAGATTTTTTTTTCCTCAAACCCAAAATTCCATTTCCCAAAGAATTTTCCAATACCAACATAACTACATATAGTACTTCCTTACCTGTGGGACATATGTTCCAAGACCTCCAGAGGATGCCTAAAACTGCAGATGATGCCTAATCCTATATATGCTATTTATTTCTACACATAAAAACTTGTTATGAAGCTCAGCCTATAAATTAGGCACAGTAAGAAAGTAACAACAGCAAAGAATAATGAAACAATTATAGCAGTATATCATAAAAAAACTGAATGTTTTCTTTCTCTCACTCTCAAAATCTTATACTAACTCACCCTTTTTATGATTATGTGAGCTGATACAATGCCAGTATGATGAGATGAAGTAAAGTGACTGACAGACATTGTGACATGGCAGCAGGCTACTACATGAGGATAACTTAAACATAAGCACTGTGATACTGTGGCAGCTAAGCTGATAACCCAGATAACTGCTAAGTGACTAACAGGCAGATAGCATATACACTGTAGATACACTGGACAAAAGGGTGATTCATGTGCTAGGATGAATGGAATTTCACAAGGTTTCTTGCTACTCAAAATGACAGACAACTTAAAACTTGTGCCTTGCTTACTTCTAGAATTTTTTTTCTTTTTCTTTCTTTGTGTATATACCCATGTGGGCATGCTTGTGCTGGGGATTGAATCTAGGACCTTGAGCATGAGAAGCACACACTTTTTAGAACATTTAAGCAGTTTCACAACAGGTGTGGATAGAAGTGAAATGATATATACTCTTGGCATAAGTCAGAGGACTTTGTAAGTACTTGTTAAGTAAGGAATTCCCACCAGCACTCATTCAAGTTGGAAAAAGATGAGCCTCCTTTCATTCGGTTGAGAAGTAAGGGTTAGGATGCCAGGTTGGCCAGTCATCTACAGACATACCTGGAACTAGATGAGACATAATCTTAAAAGGATATGGGGTAAAAATATGAAGACAGATATCACAGTTCTTAAGAAACCCACACATAGAAGCAAGGAAAGGAAAAGAAGCCAGCTAAAGAGGAGGTAAGAGAGAGGGGTCAGGGAGAGGGAAGTGAACAAAAAACATCTATGTAAAATATCACTAAATATAAGAAAGAGGCTTTTCTGAGATGTGGTAATCTTGGGGTAGACATGAAAGGCTGTCTCATCATAGTCCTGCTTTCCCAGCCCACGTGCGTCTGCCCATATCTGCTCTTTTGTTTGCAAATCTGCTCTTCTAAAGAGATAATCAGCATCTTAATTTTCTGGTCTTCAAGAAAAACATTTATAATACTGTCTACAGTGCTAGTAACACCTAGATCTACAACTAACAATAGCTTTATAAACTGTTCTTAGAATATTGGCACAATTGAAGGTGTGATTATTCTCTTTGTGTTTTGGTGACTGGATTTCTAAAAGTAAGAAATAATTTTCCAGGACCTTGTAAAATCTGAGCATAATCACAGAAGAGTTAGGCTTCCGTGTCTGTTGTGTTGGCATCAGACACTCTTCAGTGTGCAACTTAGATGTAAACTTCTGAGATGGGTTAGTCATGCTATTATTTAGATCAATTTTTTAAACCCCAAATTGATGTTGTTTTGCTCCCCCCCCCCTTTCAAATCACCTTCCTCTAGACAGCAGGTGCACTAATGGTTGTGCAACTTTGGGGAGTCCCTTTAGGGAATTTCCTGTTTTTCCCTTTTACATTTCACACCCATTCCTTGCTCCCGCCGCTACCATCTGCTATCTTTTTTCTCCCGTTCAGCTTTGGCTTCTTCACACCCCACTCCCACGCCCTTTTCCATCTCTCTCCGTCTGTCCAACAGCCCTCTACTTAGATTGCTCCAATGCGTGCATGGGGATCAAGAGAACTTCCTCTTTTCTATCAATTCACTAAGCTCCAAGGAGAAACAAAATTTGCATGGCCTTGAAGCCAGGCCTCTGTGACCTTGATAAATATAGTAAGTGGACACCAGACAAAAATAGGTGCCAATTTGGGGAGTGTTTTTAAACGAAGTTCAAAGGTCTCAGCAACAACTTGCAAAATCCTACAATAACTGGGCAAATGTTTCATGCATGTATGAAGCTAAAAAAATTGTACCAGGTTATAAGTTTAGTTATCCTGGTGTTTTGACAACTGTGAGAGAAAATACACGTTTCCACAAGTGAAGCTACGAATTAAAGCACAGTGTAACTACAAATTAAAGCACAGTGTTTGAATGCCATCAGCTGAATAATACACTACCTAGCAATAACATTTATCATTGAAATTAACATCGAAATCTAGTCCTCAAAATCTGGATAGCTTAGTAAGAAGGTCTTGGCAAAAAGTACTAAGGCACCTCACTGAACTTCTTTTAAATATGTGAAATGTTTGCATCAATATAAAAAAATTAAAGATGAAATGCTGAACCAACAAAATGTGTGCCACTAATTAATGTACCATTTGCATCATCAGGAGAGACTAGAACTCATCATTTTTAAAGTTAGCACTGTGTGGACCCGAGTTTCTGTTTTTGTACCTGGATTCTTGAGTATTTCATTCATCTGGCTGTTTTTAGGTCATCTTAAAACTAAGTTAATGCTCTGAGCATTTTTAAAGGAAGTTCTTTTTGCAAAAATTACTGGCATTTACCAGCTATTCAAAGTGAAAAGGCAGAATGTAAAAATACCACCCCTTTCTTCTATTTTAAAATCAGAAACCCTGCACTCTTTAGTAGAAGCTGGTTAATTGAGCTACAATCAGTTCTCCTACCTCAGTGTCCCTCCATCAGTTAAAACTGTGGGTCTAGAGAGGAGCTGAGGTGAGATACTGGTAGGATAGGTGTCATTTGTATTACATAAATACACTTTGATGATAAAATGTTCTCTCTATATACAGGATATAGAAGCAGCAGAAAAATCTCTGCAGACCAGGATTCACCCAGATCCACGGCCTGAAGTGGTTTCTCTTGAGGTGAGACTCTTAAGGAAACAAAAGTAACCGAGACCTCACCCTATCAGTAGGGTACTGTAAGGTAAACAGTGGTTACATGTGTGTATTACCCAGATTTATTTATTCATCAAAATAAGCAAGATGTGTTCAATTGATCTTTTTATATCCACAACACCATGTTTTATAGGTAGTGAGTAATTAGGAAGGATCTTGATGAAAATAACTTTTTTTTTTTTAATCTAATGGAATTTTTTTTAAAGGTCTTTACCCCTCATCCCTTAGAAACAACAGTCCTGTTAAATCATAGAAAACATGATGTAAACCTTAAGGCAGCAGCATGCCTAACCAGAGTGCTTTTCCTGTTAGAACTCTTGGAAGTAGCAGTTCTGTCCCTTCACCAAAATTGAACCAAAGCTATTTAAGTACACATTATCATACACGACAGTGTGGCTTTTGTCTGTTTGATTTAGCTCAGTTCAAGAGCAGGGTGAGAAGATGGTTGCAAAAATGAACCATATTTGGTATATGAATGTGTTTGTGATGAATGGGAATTTACTACATGTAGAATAGGTTCTATTATGTACTTTTAATAACCCTTTTCAAATGGCAATTTTGATTTCTGCCCAACGGGGGATATGAATGGACTCAAAATTAAAGGATGAGAATTTTGCCCTCAATTTTGTATGTCATCTAGGGTAATAAGAAAAGGCAGTGATCGAAGAGAGAAAAAGCTGTGGTACAATGTCATGCTCCAAGCGTCTCTTTCTTTGTTGAATTCTCCAATACCTTACCCTGGCAAGCACAGGGCCCACACAATAGGGGTTAATCCAGCCGTGAATGGCAGAGAAACTCCCAAGCACAGGCCTTGGATGGTATTTTTCTTGGCTAGTCTTGCACAGCAGGATGACCCTTTATTTTAAAAACGTCAGGCTGCTTCTGAGACCACAGGCATAGATGTATAGACATGGAGAATCCCTCAGCATTTTTAATTGTCAAAGCCACTGTACATTTTTAGTGATCAGTGTAAATAATTATGTGTTCCTAGTGCTATCCAACTCATTGGATGCATTGCCCCAAATGGGACTGGTAGTGTTGATCTCATAGAAAATGGTCTCGTATGATGCAGGAATTTTTGCACAGTAGCTCTCTTTAGTTTCTTTAGGACGGTTACCCAAGAAACCATCACAGCTCCTAGTCACAGCAATGTTACATGAACTTCTAAAGCCAGACGCTACTAGAGTCAAACCAATAAAAATATAGCATCTCAAATTTCCAGCTATGTGTATTAAAAAATGGTTAAGCTGTATTGATAGTATTTGGTCATACAAAAAAAATTTAAGACAAATTTCAATTTGAAGTGTCACGGATTTGTAAAAGGTAGAATGGATACATATCTCCCATATACCTAAGGGGCCAATCCATCTAACTCATAGACTAACATACTAGTTAGAGTTCCGTTCCCGATCTCATTCCAGGTCAAATCATTTTATGTAATTCTGAAGAAAGTATTTCACGTTTGACCACTTCACTATAATCATTTTGGTATCATTTAGTATGAGATCTGGAACATTAAGCTAACATATTTAATGATTTATAGCCATAAATGACACAACTGGCAATAATCACAAGGTTGGCCACAAGAGGGCGTGTAAAATCACAATAAAATTCTAAAACCTGTAATTCTGCCAGGCTCTGGTTTTACTGAGAAATTTGAAAATTAACACTAGTAAGTAGCCAGATTTTTTTTCTAAAATTAACATAAAATATTCTGTAGAGGAAATTCATTCTATGTATATGTGTGTGTGTGTGTGTGTGTGTGTGTGTGTGTGTGTGTGTGTGTGTGTACACGCACACACACACTTAAGTGAATAAACATTTAGACTATTATGAAGAGCCAAGTTCAATTGCTTGATATGCTTTTTTACTTTTGGATTTTTTTTTTCAGACTCGTTACTGGGCATCGGTAGAAGAATATATTCCCAAATGGGAACAGTTTCTTTTAGGAAGAGCACCATATCCTATTGGTGTTGAAAATCAAAATAAAGCAGAAAACACCCTTCAAAATGAGACACAGCAATAACTTTTTTACATCTTGATTTTTTAATTATTTAATAAAGCTGAATAAAGAACATGTAGGTAATTGCAAGAACTTTGGGAATTGAACATGGTTCATATTGTTCAATTAACTCCTAAATGACAATGAATACAGAAGAATTTACTGAGAAGTCTCTAGTTATCATCTATTACTATCCCAAGGTCATGAATTTGCTTTCTACTAAACCCCTGAAAGTGTTAAAAACTAATATTAAAGGTGAACTATTTATTAAACAAGTTACTAAATCTGCATTGTGTGTGCTATTTTAAATATTTACATCACTCTCATCTAAATAGGTTGGTTCTAAGTTTTCTAGAATCTTTTCTATTTATTACTTTATTATGGGGACAAAAGTAGAAGATTAAGGTAGTTGCCTAATTTTTTTTCTTTAACGTATAAACAGGGACACTTAGCTACTTTTGTATAATACTTATCAGTAGATAGATTTACAGAATTTCATGCTTCACAGGTAATCACATCTTCCAAAATTCTGGAGATGGAAAGAAATGAATTGTAAAATAGTGGATAAGTAGCCAGTTTCAGGAAGGCTCAGATTTGGTTTTGAAAAAGGAGATTCATCAGAGCTGGAAATGGTTTTGGATTTTAACTTGGTTATTTAAGGATTGCCAACCTGTGACTACAAATAATCCCTCCCTAATATTTTCATTTTTAAACTGTCCTTCTGTCTCCCTTCTATTTTCATTATTTCTGAAAAGATTGTTATTCAAGACAGGGGCAGTGATTCACCTCTATAATCTCAGCTACTCAGGAAACTGATGCAGGAAGATTACAAGTTCAAGGTCAGCCTGGGCAACTTAGCAAGACCCTGTCTCATTATATAAAATAGAAAGTGCTGGGGATCTTGTGCAGTGGTAGAGAACCCCCTGGTTCACTCCCCAGGACAGTAAAGGAAAAAAAATAAATAAGTGTCAGAAAGCTTTAGGTCACAACCCAATACAGCTTTGAGATTCTTAGTATACCAAGTACTTGAGCACTAGAAAGAAAATGGTAATTTTCTAACTGTAGAGGCAGCCTCTGCTAGTAAAAGATCTATGCTACATTACAATTAACTTAAATTGTAAAGTATTGTTTTTTTTTAAAAAAAAAAAAAAGGACAATAGGACAAACAAAAAGGAAAAAAAAAACTATTGAAATGTCCATCCTTCTACTAAGTTCCTTTAAACTACCATCTTGGAAATATCCTGTTGAGTGGGTGTTGGTGTGGGTAACAATAACGTTGTTTTCATAATATGTGCTGGCAGATTAGCACACTTCTCTGCAGTGTTAACAGTTGTAATTAAGGAATAAACAGCACAGAGTGTCAGTCCGATAACAATTTCATCTATGGTGTCACAATACAAAATGTCACAAAATATTAGAACTGTTATATAACTATAAAAAGTATCAGCTTAAAAGCCAAAAGCCTTTTAAAAAAATAAATAAAAAGGAAACAGAGAAAGGAAGAAATAAGAAAACTGGTACAGCGGCCAGAACAATTTTATACCTTCTCGAGAATGTTCTGTCATGAAAATAAATTGATAAATTTTTTTGCTGTTACATTACAGTTTGGTTTCTAGCCATCCAGTTGATTTAGCAGGAGAATGCAGGTTTTTTTAGCAGCTTTGAATTGGTAAACAGATTTAGATGTAGTAGGAAGGAGCATGAGGAAGTTTTTTTTTCTTTTTTTTTTTTTTTAACATCCAATCTTCCCCAGCATATGCACATAAGAAGGTGAATGAAATGGAGCAATATGAAACTTATTTCTCTTTAGTCAAGTGAAAAAAAAAAAGACTAAACATTTGTTAGCTGGTAAAATATTGTGTCAAGCAAGTAGGCACATTCCAAAATTAAACAGTGGTTGATACGTTAACGTCCTCAAATATTTGAGCGTACACTTCCTTTGAGATCTGTAAATTAAATCACCAGTAGATTAGATTAAAATACAAAATGAATGGCAATGTAACCATCTCAGAAAAGGTTCAGGTTTTTTTTTCTCTCCTAAACTGATTAACTTGCTGGGTGTTTTTTTGTTGTTTTGTCATTGTATCTAAGTCTAATATACCCTGAATTGCAATTTAGGGCAGAAAGGAAGGTATTTTCAGGTTTCAGCTTTACAATTCCCCCCCCCCCGATTTTAACTAATAACTCAAAAACTCCCAGAGATGACTTTATTCTTGGCCCTTGCAGAGCTCCCCCACCCCACCCGCCTTGTAGATGGTAACAGATTGCACCACATGGTGTCTGTATAAAAAAAAAAAAAATTCCCATAGGGACCTGGATATCCCATTAAAGGGCTTTGTACTCTTAATGGCAAATTAGCTTTACATAGGAATTTCCAAACATTGTTTTCCAGGGAAGAAGGGTGGAATACCATATATAAAAATATATATATTTTTTTTTCTACAGTTGGTAGGAATATCAAGAAAAAAGAAATTTCATCTACTTATCCCCTCCCCCATGGAATCAATGTACTTATCATACTCTACTCAACCCACCATTCTCCATGAAAACTATGAATCTGTATCCCCCTCCCTTTTTTTTAAATGGGAGTTTTTAAAATACAAGCCATTCGAAGAAATTTTTTAAAGCCTTTCTTGGATTGTTGCAAATGCATAAATATTCAAAGCTCAGTTTCTGCTGAGACACTTCTGGTCTATGAAATTATTAAACTAGAAAATGCTAAAGATCAGAAGGAGCTGCAGTTTTCTTTCAAACTTTAAAAACGTAAATTTTAAGTATTGAGGAAAAATGCCTAACATTGTGGAAAACAAACATCTGGTTGTCTTTGTGAGGGGACAGTGTCCGTGGAACTGAAATCAAATGGACAGTTTTTTCTCTGCTTAGGTTCAGGTGTTTTAGCTGATCAGCTTAAGACTTAGGTGAGGATAAAGATCTATTTTAGACTATCTTTCCTTCTTTCCCACAA